AAAAAAAAAAAAAAAAAAGCCATGCTATTTTTTTGTTGTAAAGAAGCAACCTAGCCGCTGGATCCCTTACTCACCGCTGTTCATCTTCTCCACTCTCATCATGACTTCTTCTTTAATTCCCCTATGTTGTTGGTCATCCTCTTTCCACCTCCCCGTTATTCTTCTGCTTTCGTTCAAAGGCCTCTCACTCGTCGGGGATCAAATCTAAAATTGACAGTCAGACAAATCATTTTTATTTTGAAATTTTGTTACTATAACAACAAAAAAATTCAGATTTTGGCTGAAAGAAGATGGCAAAGCTGAAGAAGATGGTGAACGAAAAGTTGAAAAATAATGGATAGAATTTGGAGAAAATCAATCATTGACATATTTATTTTGCACAAATTTGTTGTTGGAGAAAAAAATATTCTTCTATCTTTATTTTGTCACAGTTTAGAAGCTGTAAAATAGAGCAATAATGGAGATGCATACTTACAGAGGAAAACTGTTTACCTCGAAAAATGTGAGTAACAATTAAAGATAATTTGTGGTTTTAAAAATACTTGATATATTTTAATACTAGTGATTAAACAAATAATATTGAGCTTAAGTAAGAAGAAATAATGAACCAAATCAATGTTGCTGATACAGTAGGGGCCTCGAGCTCGTCTATCCAGGGACCTCGAGGTCAGCTAAGACCAAAAAAGTATGAACAATAAAGTAAAGGCAATAAAGCTGAAGAGTAATTGTTGAGCACATTAAACAAGAAAAGAATAAGAATGTTCTATTGCAGTGTATGACCTGATGCCCTACAAAAATGTTTGGGGTCCCCTTATATAGGAGGAGAAAACCCCAATATAGTACATTGCTCATAAAGGTAAAAATTTCTATTGGTACAGGTGTATAACGGCCTAGTACGGATCTGTACCATTTCGTGCAACCCTTATCCTATAATTAATACGCTGGTCCACGGGTCCTAAAGAAGTTCTCGCTCTTTCTTGATTGACTTCGAGATTATGCTGCCCTCGATGCAGGCTGTGTCAGGCCTTCGATCAGCTCCCTCGAGGTAGGCGTCCCTTAGCCAGGTATGACACCCACTTCGAGTCTCCCGGACTCGAGCCTATGGCCTGATTTAAGACTTTAAAATCATGCTCCTCATTTTTGACTGCATACAAATAGTCCTCACATTTCTTAGAATGAAATGATATGAAACGATTCGAGCCTCGATTTTCCCGCGCCTCTCGCGATGATGTCATGCTCATGACGTAGGCATTTGTAGAGATCGAAGCGTCCCGTTAGTTCGTCTCCCTAGAAGAATTAAATGTACCACCGATCCATTTCCCCAAAAGCATTGAATGCGTCATCGGTCCATTTCCCCAAAAGCATTGAATGCGCCGTCGGTTTCATCGTTGTCTCTCTATAAATAAGGGGTTACTTGGCTGAACAAAATTATACTCATTCCTTCTTCATCAACTTTTAGTCATTTACCTTCTCTATCTCTTCCTCTAATCCCCTATTTTTATGGTTCAAATCTGTGACCACAAGGTCATATGGCAGCAATTTTACCAATTATGCCATGACTCATTTTTTTCAAAGTTGCACCCTACTAAGTGGGATTATACTAGGTTGTTGTTGTTGTTATTATTTTTGTTGTTGTTGGATCGAGACAACGAGAGAGGGGCACTGAATTCTTCCCATATCAAAAGATATGCGAACTTTATACTGCTACTCATCTCTCTTAACTTCAACCTGGTGTGTCACTTAGTTCCCTTTGCTTTCCATGGAATGAGGTGGCACTATCATCTACTAACTTTTGCATCCCACACCGGTACAACGTCTCAAGAAGTGTCTTCAAAATAATTGTGCGGACAAGACTCATACTCGCCAAGTTTTTCATCATGCCACAATTTCCTCCAAAGATCGAGATGGAGTCCCCGAGGAAGAGGTTCTTGAAGATGTCACTCTCAAGTATATGCCCCCTAAAGTAGATTAGATTCTTGGCTTTTTGTTTTTATTTCTTTATTTCTGTATAAGGGCCCCTCGTGGGTTTTGTAAATATCTTTTGTTGATATAAGAATTTCTCCATTCCGTCTTCGATTCATGTTGAATTCCCTTTTGCCTTCGTTTGTGAAAAATCCGAGTGTATAACTCTATTGATTAGTCTAAAAACTGGACCCGAAACATAATAAACCTTAGGTTTTAATCGACTGGTATAATACCTCTTAAGGTTCTCTGCTAATCTTCGAGCTAAGCTTAGACTGATTTGATGTGAGCACGGGACAGTAGGACTCTTGAGTCCGAGTTGAGTGAGAGCGAGGTCTCTAATAAAGTTAGGCTTCGTAGATAGTCCCCGAGTGAGAATTTTCTTGAACTCGGGTAGACCCTAGGCTTAATAGTCGAGTGAGTGCATGCTCGAACTCGAAATAGAGATAGCCCTTAGGCTTTATAGATAGTCCCCGAAGGAGAATTTTCTCAAACTCGAGCAGC